TACCGTTACCGAGATGACCTATATAAAGATGTTCGCGTTTTAATATCAGAAATAGGTTAGTTCCAAAGAAAAACAATTATTGTTCATTATAGCTCATCAAAGAAATCTATCTCATAAAACGCGTCAGCTTAAACAAGGTGCGGGGAGTTTCCGATGCAAGTCCCCGCTCCCTGAGGCAAAATCAATACTCCCGATTGCTTTGTATCGGCGCCGCATAAGGCTGCATCTAGACTAGATTTTTTCATCTTTGCTGATACTAATCCTTTTTATAGTCTAAGCCACTATACGTGTAAATAAAAAACAATCAGATCATCTGATAACACGAACAAGCATGTATTTATAAAGTAAACGCCTATAATTTGAAATTAGTTGACTACGTATCGAAATCTCTGCGAAAATTAATAAAAATCACCCTCCAATTTATTTCCAATTTAAGATGCCCTTTTATTTTTAGAGTTGCGATTTAAGATAAAATAAATACTAAAGTACAACATTCAAAGATTTTTTTTAAAATAAAAAAAAAAATAAATATTATTATACTACATATGAAAACCAAAAGCGGCTTTATCTAAATAGCATTAAGGTTTACTTGTTATTTTTTCACTAATTTAGAAAACAAATAGTTTTTATTTGTAATAAAAGAACAACGCCATAGCAAAGTAAAACTAAACGAGATTTGATACAATTACAATACCCGAGCACAATTTACAATTACCAAGGTATTATACAAGTCATAAAAAAAACTTCACTCCAGTATGAACATAAGCTGCCCCGATTTGGTTCAATCACTGCGCATGTCCGAACACAACGCAGGCGCACTAGAGGTGCCTTTGTGGCGGCCATATTTTATTGCTTTTTTTTGGTCAGCCTTTAAACAGAAATATCGCCATTCATGGAAGTCAGGTATAAATTTCATGTTAACAGTTTTTATGCCGGGGGCCTAATGCAACGGAGGGCTACTATACGCCGCTCGGGGATTAACTAAAATTCTTTTAGTTTTGTTTGGTTGAAATTTTTGTTGTCGAAAATATTGAAATTAATCCTTTGTTAAATTGTTTTTGTAATAGGATTAAGAGGCATTTGTATCTAATATCTTGTTAAGTCTACTTTTTTTACACTACTCAATATTTAAATGACATGGTTCTGCCTGATTCAACAATTTTTGCTACTCCCATAAAATGCAAATTTGGGCGTAGCAATCTGGAAAATTGTAACGAAATATTTCTATTTAGCTACATAAATAAAGGAAAAATAAATGAATGGGTACAATATTAATAGTATTAAGTCATAAATTGCTCAGCATTAATTAATTTCTTAGTACTGTAATTAGGAATAGTTGTAAAGATTTAACATTTGCAATAAATTATAATACAAATGCAAGTAAATTGAAAATTATTTCTTTTTAATTTAGCACTTACCTGTTAAAATCCTTATCGATTGAATTTTGCGCATCGGAGTGGGTTGGCTGCCAGCACTACATCTTCTACTGGCCGTCGTATTGACACTACGAAAGCTTTTCAGCGCGCACGAGCGAAACTAGTCTGTGAAAATACTCAAAAGCTGCTTTATCATCTCGTGTGTTTCAGTTTTTAGTGCCATCTATCGGTGACCTTAGAAACTACTAAGACGATTTCAACTTTCAAACTCATACAGTGTGAAGGTTCCAACTCAAAACATGAAGTCCGGAATACAGCTGTTTAGATAACTCATAAAGTAGCTTAAAAATATTACCAACATTTCATTCAACATTTTAAATTTTCTTCATTCTTAATTCATAATGTTAAGCTAGATTAGTTCAAAAATCTTATAAGAATTTTGTCGACGGCTTGTTGAGTACAACGCCATCTGTCCAAAAGACATTAATTAAAATTTCACTGTTTTGATCCAACATGTTTGTTGAAATATTATGGGTTTAATATTTTAAAAATAGATGGCGCTTTACATATTTCCACTTAAAATAATTTGTTTTATAATTTTTCAACAACACAAAATATGTTTTATTCATCATTAGCAAAGTATTTGAACAATAAATGTATTTCGCAAAGCAGTTCTAGAAATAATTTTAGTCATCTAACCTTTACCTACCTAGTTTTCTTCTTTTATAATAGATGGTGCTTGTTAAAATTGGTTTATTTTTAAAAAATATTGCAAAGAAAAATTGTATGTAATCTATAAATAATAATTTTACCACCGGAAAAAACTACAAATCAAATCTATATTGATTACTGGCAAGGCAATATTTTTTTTTGCTGTTTTGTGAAATGATTACATTTGAAATTTACACTTATACAAAAATATAGATGTAAATTGGCGTTTTAACTGCATTTAAAAACACCTTATACCTTTTTATGATCAATGTTTGATTTTGACTAAACCAAATCATTAATGCTGCGTGGTTATATATTTTACTTATAGAGAACTAGCTTTCGCCCGCGACTCCGTCCGCGACTATCCTCTACATCTATGCTAAATTTTATCGAGATCCGTTTAGCCGTTTAGGCTACAAACTCTAACAAACATCCATCCATCCATCTAAACTTTCGCATTTATAATATTAGTAAGATATGCTAGATTTCTCTTCGATAGTAATGAAGCGATGATTGATAGAGCTCTTGTCTACGACTGTACTCAGCCTTTATACTCCGACCAGTGCGAGGGAATTTTTACGTTGCGGAGAATTTTCTCACTTCAATAGTTTTCAATGAAGACATTTAGTGTTTATTATAAAGGATATTTATCATTCTTTTGATATGAAAATATTGTACAAGAACGTATTAATCATTTATTTTGACATTCGCTGCATCTTTTTACTGAATGAAATAGGATGTAATTAATGAGTAGATGATTCATATTATTTAATAAGAACTTATGCACGTTAATTTTACTAATAGTATAAATTCCAAAGTTTAGGATGTATGGATGGATGGATGTTTGTTAGAGTTTGTAGCTGGCTGAAGGAATTTCGACTAAATTTAGTATAGATGTAGAGGATAGTCTGGAAGAATACATAGGCTACTCACTTTTGTTTTTATTCATTCCACGCGGACGAAAGTTAGTCTCATATAAAATCTCACCTTCTTAATGACGTTGCTATTTGTTTGATAATAAAAAAAATACAAAACTCCCTTCGTTAAATATTTTTGAAGCCCCAAGTTCTTTTTGCAATAAGAATTTCCTGTATCTCCAAAACAGTTTGACGAATCTTAATGAAATTAGGCATAGATGTAGAACATAGTTGGAGAACCACAGACTACTTACTAAGTTCCTTTAACACTTGCATAGGTTAAAGAAAACTTTAAATTGTAATTTTAAACCATTATCATTAGTAATGCTTAACTTTTAAATTTTTTCACCACCTGACAAATCGATTATCCATAATAATTTCTCAAAATAAAATGGAATCTTATCAGGGTCGTCAAAACGGTGTCTTACAAGGCTTGTACGACACCGCGCGCGGTGAAAAATGATTCGCGACACAGCACACCTTAATGCGAGCTATCTTATGATCGGCCTGCGGTCTCCGGCTCTACGGACAGCGATACATTAATAATATTACTCATTGTTACGATACACTATCCGCGAACGTATCTTAAAGGGCATGCCTTTGAAAGTATTCGAGTCTTTTTTCCTTGCGCAGATGTCAGATTGGATGATCCCATTGTATTAGGAAAGTAAGGCTAGGTATAATGGTAAATATTAAATTCAAGAACATACAATTTCCAATAAGAGCCAACATAACTATTACGTATCTGTAGATGTTGATAAGGAGCGTACATACTAAACACTTGCAAAAATGTTTTTTTATTAGTTGGTGATCCAATTAGAATTAAAAAATGTGTCTACTCGGAATCCTACTTATTGGGACATCATTTCTGAAGACCAAAGAAATATTTTACGAGCTTTCCAAGATAATGTTTCATCTCTTCCAAACGACATTTTCTTGTTTTTATAGTAGTCTTTGCACGTTGATAGTCAATTACTATGAACGGTGGTGAAGGTATCACACTTTTGAAGGGTAATATATATAGCTATTTCGTTTCGAATGTTAGCATGCAGGAATTGCATTAGTCTTGAATTTAAAGGCAATTTTATTCCTAGATCCTTTTCCTGACACTTGGAATATTAAATCTTTTCCAACAACTGTATCAGAGCGTAGCGAACGAAACGAAATATTCGGACGGTATGATTTATAGGTTCAGCCTCCGATACGCGGCCCGCGACCTACAAACTGAGGCAACCTTCACATTTTTCGACAGTCTTTTGTTGGCGGCACGTGGTGCCGGCGCCCCAGGTTCGGCTGTCATGTCATCGCCGCTACGTCCATTTATCATCACTCAATACTATCAAGCCAAGCGGCGTCTAACTGACGCTCCCAGCGTCATATAACTCCAGCCCCGGAATTCGTGTACGAAAGTGAATAGTAGTCTAAATTAAATGTCTCTTTGGTTTCAGTACACATTATTTCCTCATTTAAAAAATAGTGTTTTTTTTTCTATAATATGAGGTGGCAAAAGAGCAAGTGGCCACCTGAATCCACCGAAATGGAAAGCGACCCATAAACATTCGCAATTGCAGATGCGTCTCCTACCCTGAGGAGGAGACGCACATAAAGAGGACATTTCCCCTTCCTATGCGTCTCCTCCACCGTCAAATCCACTTTTCCTTCCCATCCTTTTCTTTAAGAAAAGGGTGGAAAGGGAAGGGGACTAAAATTAGGCCTCCGGCTCCACACTCATCAGAATTGCATCCACTTCACGCCTGTTTTCTGTGTGGTCGTGGTATTACACCGGGCGAGTCGGCCCATTCGTGCGAAGATGTTAAAGCGGGCTCTACCACAGTTGAATTTTATCTTTAATCAAACAATCATATATCATCATAATTTATTTTATCATCACCAATTTTTCAAATTTAATACACATTAATTATACAATACGATAATTTAAATGATCAGTGGATCCACACTACAGATCTCATTTAAATTGGAATGAACGATAAACATATTTATATTTTATTAAATTACAATGAAATAACACAACTAAAACAGTATCATACAATATAGAAGGAAGATCGGGGAACAATAAAACTTAGGCCGCGTCCTATTGCACAGTAATTTAAAAGTCCATGATACATTTCATAAAAGTTACTTACGCATAGTTTTAAAGAATTTGAACATTTAAATTGAATTACTCTAATCGTTACATCTAATATTTACAAACAATAAATAAAGAAACAAATTAAACGGTTCGGTAAATCAATATACTAACGTCCAAGCTGATAGGAAAAAAAACTTTGAAACTCAGATTCAATCGCTGTTTGACTTAAGAATAAAATTTAACAAAATATCACAGTTGACCACGACATTTCTATTATAACAAAACTTTAAAATTTAACTGCAAGTCCATGGGACAGTGGGTTTGAAAAAAATAATAAAATTAACTACAGACGTCATAGTCATTAAGGAAACAATAAATTTACTCGCTAAAGATATTTAAGTACATTTTACAAATACGACATTAAATATATTACGTAGTCACATGTACTGGTATAGCTTGATCAGGAAAATAGATACTATCACGAGGGCGCCTTAACCGCCTCCTTCATTTCACCACCTTCTAATATGCGAAGAAATTTTTCCATACATTTCCGAAATATCATAAGGTGTGTTATGTTCCTGGTCAAGCTATATACTGTGAGATATTCATAGAATGATAGCAATATTTCAAATGATAATAAAAGTAGATCATTTAAGAGGAACCGTGTTACAAGTGATATAAATATTTCATTACGTATTTACAACTAAGAACAGGAACATAAAACAGTTCTTAAAGAAGTACTAAGTTGGATAATATATTAAATTTCCACCATACCAGCTACATGACAAAATGTATTTACAATATAAAGAAGAAACTTCTAATTACTCACATTATTTCTTTTTATTAACTGAGCTTATATTTTCAAACGACAATGTCTTTCCAAGCATTTCTTTGATCGTAACCAATCAATGGCGATTAAACAAAATTATCAATGTCATACGATTCGAATGGTTTTCGTATTTGACAATTTTTACTAAATCCCTGTACATTTCCGAATTTGTTGTATGTGTACGCATTACCAAATTCAGATCAATAATACCGGTTACGCACAGCATTTCGTAAAACAAACGATGTCTACCTTAACTAACTAGCCATCACAATTTACATGAATAACTTTAAATTACTTTACACTATTAGGAATAGTATGCAGATCAAATTACGGCTTATGACTAGGTAAAATTCTTTCTACACCAATGTTTGTCATTGTTTAAACGTTTTTTACAAACGTCCAAACAATAATGGTACCGATCGAAGATATCCTTCGTTCAAATATATCCGATCATAGTCTCGGACACCTAATAGACTCTATGCATTGAATTTATTAAACTATGTTACATGTTTGGTCTTAAATAAGGATTTTGTTCACACGCATTTTATTCTCGTCCTTCACTTTGCACAAACACGAGTCTTTACTGTCACTGGTAGTGTCCAATTATTTCAACTTTTGTTTAACACATATTGAAATTTTTCGAACAGCGAATAACTGATCCAGTCTGGTTGCTATAACATCAAAAATCTAGATTTCGATTAGAGATGGTACAAGCAACCTCGTCTTATATACGATCGACTGTATGCTTAGTAAATCAGTTATCCACTATTCGAAAAATTCCACTGATCCTATGCGGAGAGATGCGCGAATTGACTCGGGTGAAGGTCGAACTGGTACGGATGGCCGTACGGATTCATATGGTACGGGACGATATTCATCGATGCCATCTTATGTTCCTTCTTCCACTTCATGCGGCGGTTCTGGAACCAGATCTTGATCTGGCGCTCGGTGAGGCAGAGCGCGTGCGCGATCTCGATCCTTCTCCTCCGCGTCAGGTATCGGTTGAAGTGGAACTCCTTCTCCAGCTCGAGCGTCTGATACCGCGTGTACGATGTCCTCTGGCGTTTTGTTTCCCCGTTCGCGTTCACCGTACCTGGAAAATTTTAAAACAAATTATTATAAAAATTTAAATTACGTGTTCGAGTTTGTTTGATGCAGTTTTATTAGTCACAAAACGTGAGGCACGCTACTATTTAGAACTGAATGCCCGTTTGAGCGCCAATGAATACTTGGCTCGATCGACTTCGTGCCTTGCTACGCTTGCCCGATTGTGATATACGGCTAGAGGCGATGCGCACGATTCGAGAGCAAGATTAAAAAGAATAAAATAAAAATTACACGCTTCTACAATTTGTTATTTTACTTCCGAGCTGTCGCATAATTCCGATCTTGTAAAACGCATTGTAGCCAACATGTTGCGTTATAAATCATGGTTTTCGACACGTGTTATTGCAAGACAGATCGGCGTCCGAAATAGAATCGTGCGGAGATCAAGAGCGAGAATAATATTGTAGTAAATAAATAGTTATTATTTGTGGAAAGTCGAGAGAGATGTGCGGCAGTGAGACGAAATCAAAGGAGTGGCTGTCGAACGACGACGTCGCGAGCGGTCGAGTCATCGGTTGCAGGCGCAGGGCGCACCTGTCGCTCGGCGTCGCCGGCCGCCGCCCGCGCGCCTGGCCGCTCGCCATGCCCCGTGATCGATACGCGCTGAGTCTCGAGTATGTCTACCAAATTAAACCGAGCCATTTGTTATATTTCTTTAAGTAGCCTCGCCCGCTAATGAGTTACTTTCGCAATATGATTAAATTATATTCAAACTGTTGCATTTAATAGTTCTTATAACGAATTAAATCAGTTGGATAACATATTGAAATCTAAAACGAAATTATTACAAGGAGCAAAGAACAATTGAGTAAAAGAATAAAATAAGTGTAACGAAAACAGTAGTGAGCTGATTTCCTTTATGCAGGCGGAGATGGCAGGCCCGCGTCAATAAAGATGTTAAACCGCTATAAATATTTGATGTCCGAAGTACTACAAGTGAAGTCGCGGCAAAAACCCTACGGATTGAAATGTTAGTGACAGCTCGATGCACAAACAACCGACTGACAGCATTATTTTAACATAATCCTTGTATAGAGACGAAACGAATGGACGCAATACGAGGGCATATGAATTTCAATGCGATCTCACGAATATGTTGATTTTGATAAAACGCTAACATCGAGTTTCTAATTTGAATTAAATATGACGAGGAAGTGCACATGTTTCAATATTAAATGTAGAACTATTGATTTGGAATAATAAAATAACTCGATAAGCAAAGGATAGTGAACGGTAGCGGGCAAAGAATAACAAAGGTTTGTTGATAATGTAGTTCTTTTATTCTTAATCTGTGGAATTTTAAAACAAAACAAACAATTTAATTGATAATGGCGATCCATCAATACAATTTTCTTATTATTAATGTCATAGATGGATTAAATGATTTATTACATTTAATAATAACCTAAAAGTGGTAAAAATCAGTGAGAAGAAGAGATTTATTCGTCAGATCAATATCAACATTAATATTACAAATAGTAGATTTGTATTTAATATATGAAAAAAAAAAACTCACAACTACTGGTCGGATTAAAAAAATCTTTTGTCATTAGAAACACTCTAATTTACTATTTTTTTTATTTATTAATTATTACTTACATAGGCTATACATATTATTACATTTTACTTATTCATCCGGACGAAGTCCCGGGATAAACCTAGTCATATACAACATAATGCATAATATTCGTACAGTGCTTGAATCTAATAATTGAATAACACAATTTATTCCCTGTCATCTGAATAAAGTTAAAATTATTTACGATCCAAGTGAATAATTGTTCACGTCGTTAAATTAACATAGTGAATAGTTTCTGCAATGTTTATCTTAATACGTGTACTATACGTATATTCTATACATTTTCATTATTAATAATGATACTGAGTTGTGGTTTAACAAGAATACTTGTAATAAAATAAAATGTCTCGTAATAAAAACATCTTGCAAAATTTTCGTAATAATTGACTTTGTAAGTGACCTTTGTGCATATTTATTACTAGCTGTTGCTCGCGTCTTGGTTCGTGCGGAAATAAAAATTGTAGTAAATATAACCTATGTTACTCAGTGATAACGTAGCTAGTTATTAGTGACATAATTTTTGGATCGGCTCCGTAGTTTTTGAGTTATTCAATACGTACCAAAATACACATCTTTACTATTTATAATATTAGTATAGATGTCCCAAAGTCCTAGTCTCAGCTGTAGTTTTTTTAAATGTAAAAGAGAAAAGGTAAAGATGGACTGGAGCTTTTGAAATAAACAAGTATTCATCTAAAACTAGAAAATAAACTACGAATATTTTCTAACTCAGAACATTAATTAAACTTAAAACGTTATGTAACATATAAAATTTAAGTCGCTATAAAGCAAAAAATTCTAGCTAGAAACTTGTCGTTGACATCGACACCACAAATAGGCAGTTTTTATCCGACGCAGGTAATTCTAGGTCACAGACCATTGATATTCCGTCTGCCTGGATCTAGACATATTGCATGGTCGAATTTTAAACGAATGGCATCGTAATACTTATGGATGAGACGATATTTGTTAACTAAAACAGCTAGTGTCTGGTGACGGCTTCATGATACTTTTTACGTGTATCTTGTTTCCAAAGGGATTGCAGAGATTTTTTTTGATATTCTAAATGTTATTTATTTAATAATTAATATAAAAGCGTTTTAATGCTACTAGTAGTTTTATTAAATAAATATAACGAGACTATTTGTAAAACATTAAAGGTAACTACAACAAAATGTAAATTATTTATAAAATCTTAATGTGTATAAATATATGTTTTTTATTTCTATGTGACATGAGATGCTTTTAAGTAATTGAATTAAATGGTTTATGGAAAATGTTTGCAAATTTTCAATTAACGTAATTTCTGTGTTTGTTTAATGTTTAATAAGTTAACGTTAAATAACAATTGAATTTAGTATTATTAGGTATATGAGGCGAAATAATTGTTAATTTTTGAACGATTAAAGTTGCTGGCAACTAATAATTTTGAGTACTGGCTGAATGTGCATCGTGCATGATACATGTGAAGACGACGATAGAATGACTGATGACAGTTGTCATTGAATGGTAGAATGATGCGCTTTTTTATTATAAAATGAATTAGTTAATCTCTGTAAATGTTTGCAATTCGATTAGAGTGCATTGCGAAGTTATCAATTAAGATGGTGATCAACTAAAGATAGTGTTTCTAATGTTATGCGATTGTTATTTCATTATCTCCGACATACGCACGCCTACAATCGAAGATCGTTACCGTGTAAATCAACCTTCGGATTTAAATTCTACACACCGCTCGTCACTCCGTCAAGTAATAAATGTAAAATGCAGATATGTATTCTAATAAATCATCCTTTTTAAAATATATCTTGATTTTAGTAACTTTGCTGATTTTATTAGAACAGTTTTTTTTGTGCAGTATCAGTAAGAGCAGTATAAGAGAATATAATCGACCTTGATGATAACCTTAGAGTTCGTCGCAATGGACATTAATAAAAAAAGTTTTGCATAATAGTAGGCATTTCAAGATAACAATAATGACACGCGTCAATAAACAAAACAAATTAAAAAAAACTGCAAAAAACAAAGCAAATAGATTTATAAAAAATGTTAACTCAGATAATTTTTAATGGAAATGTGATTTGTATTACATCAATTTTATTCACCAGTTTATTGTAAATCCATTCGCACTCTGCGTTAATTTTATTTGCTTATGTCATATCCCTTATTTTAAATTAAACATGAGAAATATCATAAATACAAGTTGTAACATTTTTCTATCTCTCGTATATCTTTCCATCAACGTATATACTTAATAAGCTCGCGTCTCTGAATGCCAACATAAAAATGTTTAGCGATAAAACATCAAAGACGCCATGACTAATGATATCTAGATGAAAACAGAATACATGCAATAAAAGTGTCACGTATTTTTTATAACAGCAGTCAAATTAACTACAGCCAAAGAGCAAAAGGGCCGTAGATTTCGTTTACTACTGAATATTTGCTATGCTATGATACCTTTTTTAGCGTCAGCGGCTCAAGGGGTAAGCACTTGTAATCCATAATTCCTGGTTTCGATCCCGCTGTTCTTTCGGTGAATGAAAAAAACGTAATCCAACCTGCACATATCTCCTAATAAATTCAGAGATGTGTGTGAAGTCAAGCAATCTTCACTGGACCCTCATGATTGACTACGGTTTATTAATTTAGGGTAGGCTTCAAACTCCGGAATAGAATCATATAGAGAGCAGATGATACATGTCGTAGAAATGTTTCTTTAAATATTTTTGGGTTACTTTAATAGTTTTTAATAATCCTAGTTTTTTTTTTGTTTTCTTCTCTTGCAACTGTAAATCTTTTAGTATTTTTGTGTGACTTTATGAGTCTTGTTCAATATTAAAATCACAGCCATTATGTTTTGCTGTATCGTTCATATGTTATGCTGTAAATATAATGAATAGAAATGCTATGTCAAATAAAAATAAAATATTGCGCTTCAAATTTTCTTGTTGAAAGACATTTTTATCTATCTGAATGCAGATGAAAGAATTTAGTGGGAAGTTGTTTTTTATTCGGATGGTGCGGTAGTATAAGCAGATTGCACAAAACAATATTTGATACTAGCTTTCGCCTGCGACTCCAATCGCGTGTAGTTCAAAATACAAAAGTTAGTAGTCTACGTGTTCTTCCAGACTATTCTCTATATCTATGCCAAATTTCATCGAGATCCGTTCAGCCGTTTTATCTACAAACTCTAACAAACATCCATCTATTTTTGATTTATGGCTGCTCACTTTTGAGTTTTTTAATTCCACGTGGACGGAGTTGCTGGCGATAGCTAGTTTGACTCTAATTAACAACATTTTGTTCTATTTACTAAAGAATAATGTAAATAAAATTAAATTGATCAATTTAAATCTGATGTTAGTAAAAGAAAAAAAAGGCGATGCGATTTGACAGTAGGT